GATCTGCTGAATGGGGGGGAGCTCCTGGGTAGGAGGGGAAGTACTGGTACGAGCTCTAGTAGCACCTCTCCGGAGGCGACAGTACTGTAGGTACCTCTCCTGCAGCTGCTGGGAGGAGAGGGCTCCTCCAGGTGTAGCACGCTCAGGATCAGCACCTCCAGACACAGCACCCCCAGACGTAGCACCCCCAGGCTCAGCACCTCGAGACTCCGCACCCCCAGGCTCCGCACCCCCAGACTCAGCACGGTCAGGCTCAGCACCCCCAGGCTCAGCACCTCCAGACGCAGCACCCCCAGACGCAGCACCTCCAGACTCCGCACTCCCAGGCTCAGCACCTCCAGGCTCCGCACCCCCAGGCTCCGCACCCCCAGACTCCTCACGGGCAGGCTCAGTACCCCCAGCAGGACGAGAGTCAACAGCTACCTCGACAGGCTCAACTGGGTCTACCTGGGACACACCTGAGGGAGCGGCACCCTGAGGGGGGAGGGGGTCTGGTACCTCAGCACCTGGAGCGAGGAAGAGAGGCGGGGGGGGGAGCGGGGCAGTGCGGTAGGGGAAGAGGCGGTAGTAGGGGACGGACTCGTCAAAAGTGACGTCCTGAGAGGCAAGGACACGACGCGAGGTGGCGTGGTAGAACTGCCAACCAGGCGCGTCCGGGACAAAGCCAAGGAAGACACAGGGGACAGCGCGACGGGAGAGCTTGTCCGCGGACGTGTCGCGAACAAAAGCTCGAGATCCCCAGACCCGAAAACGCGACGCATCGCCAGCCTCTCCCGTCCAACGCAGTGTCGGAGAAGTCTCCGGTAAGGAGACACGGGGCCAGAGGTTGAGCTGATGCGCAGCGTATCGGACTGCAAACGACCACAGAAAGTGGGGGGCAGCCGCATGAACCAAGGAGGTACGAGCGACCTCCATGACCAAGCCAATGCGGCGCTCAGCAACCCCATTCTGCTGTGGAGAGGCCGGAAGTGTGAACGACTGCTCAATGCCCTCCTGCTGACAGAAGGCCTCCAAGAGGCCAGAGGAAAACTCCCCACCTCTGTCAGAGTGCAGACGCAGGACAGGGAAGTCGGAGCGGAAACGCTCACTGAGCTGGAGACGAGATCTGCGGATCCAAGGGATCAAGACATCAGGGACGTCACCCTTGGCGCGCAAGGGGAAGACCGTGGTGTAGCGCGAGAAGTCGTCAACAACAATCAGGAAGTACCTCTCCTGACCCTGACCACGGACGCGGGCTGGGCCTCACACGTCCATGTGGAGCGTCTGCAAAGGAGCAGTCGTCGGGGGGAAGGAGGAGGAGTGAGGAGCGGCGCGCTGCCGCCCCTCGACACAGGGAAGACAGGGAGGAGCAGGCGAGGGTGGGAGGGGAGGGAGAACCCTGGGAAGACCAGCAACAAGGTCCCGTTTGTGCATGGCCCGAAGGCGCTGCACAGACGGGTGACCAAGGCGGTGGTGCCAGAGGACAGTCTCATGCGCCAGAGAGCGACACGAGCAGGGGGCGGACAGCTGACCTGACGCAGACGCAGACGCGGACGCAGCGACCTGAGGGGACTCAGTGGTCAGTGTGTACAGGTCCGACCCCGGCTGCCGAGTGAAGGTAGCCAGGTGACGGCCCGTCCGAGCACACGTGCAGTGGGTCACGCGCTCGTAAGCAGGGGTGAACTGGTGGACACCCCTGTCCTGGAGCGCACTACCCGCCACCAAGTTCGTAGAGAACGAGGGGAGGTAGAGACCTGACAGTGTGCCTGACGGGACCGCAGGACAAGGAAGGACAGTGGAGGAGGTCGCAACGACCGGACCCCCAGAGGGGTCAGCGAGGGAGACAGCAACTGGCCGAGCGAGTGGCTCAAGGACAGTGCGGTCACGAAAGAAACAGCGAGAAGCACCTGAGTCCAGTGTGAAGGTGTGCAGTGCTGCAGTCGACTCAGTACCAGCGGGCACGGACGCACTAGCACCTAGAGCAGCAGCCTCACCATCACCTGAGGTGGCAGACACGCGAGCACCTGCAGTGGCGGTCTCACTAGCACCTAGAGCGGCAGCCTCACTCACACTACACGGCAGCTGCACCGGTCCGCGCCCAGAAGCTCCCGAACGACGCACTCCAGAGTGACTACCACGACCACCACCCCGAGAGCCCAAACTCGCGTACCACTCACGAGCCCGCTGGAGCGTAAGAGGACACTGCTGCTGCACCTGTCCACTACCAGATGCTCCCGAACAACGCACGCCAGAGCGACTACCACTACGGCCACCCCGACAGCCCAAACTGGCGTACCACTCACGGGCCCGCTGGAGCGTAAGAGGACACTGCTGCTGCACCTGTCCACTACCAGATGCTCCCGAACAACGCACTCCAGAGCGACGACCACGACGGCCACCCCGACAGCCCCAACTAGCGTACCACGCACGCGCACGAAGCAGCTGGGGCGAAGGAGGGCACGGCAGCTGCACCTGTCCACTACCAGAAGCTCCCGACCGACCCACTCCAGAGCGACCACCACTACGGCCACCCCGACAGCCCCAACTAGCGTACCACTCACGCGCACGAAGCTGCTGGGGCGTGAGGGACTCACGCGCACGGCCCTGGAGCTGCATCTGGCCACGCCAGGAGCAGCAGTAGTAGCAGTAGCGGCAGCAACAGTAGTAACAGCAGGAGCTGTGGCAGTGGGAGTAGAAAAGGCAGTAGCAGCAGTAGCAGCGGTAGCAGTGCTGGGCAATGCTCACCAGTGGTCGGCGCGGCAGGCGCAAGACGGTGGCGACAGCGGGGCCGCTACAACTGCAGGGCTGGGCCGGGCCGCAGCAGGGAGCTCCGCGGCAGCTGCTGCAGGGCGAGGCCGGGCCGCGACGGCAGCTGCTCCAGGTGCCAGGGGCGGCTGCTGCAGTGGCGGCGGCTCCAGGGGCCAGGGGCGGCTGCTGCAGGTGCGGGCTGCTCCAGGGGGGGCTGCTGCAGTGGCGGGCGGCTCCAGGGGCTGCTACTGCAGTGGCGGGCGGCTCCAGGGGCTGCTGCTGCAGTGGCGGCTGCTCCAGGGGCGAGAGGCGGATTAGGTCAGGGCGACGCGGCGGGCAGGTGGCGACGCCGCGGGCAGGGCGACGCGGCGGGTAGGTGGCGACGCCGCGAGCAGGGCGACGCGGCGGGCAGGTGGCGACGCCGCGGGCAGGTCGACGCGGCGGGCAGGTGGCGACGCCGCGGGCAGGGCGACGCGGCGGATTAGGTCAGGGCGACGCGGCGGGCAGGTGGCGACGCCGCGGGCAGGGCGACGCGGCGGGTAGGTGGCGACGCCGCGGGCAGGGCGACGCGGCGGGCAGGTGGCGACGCCGCGGGCAGGTCGACGCGGCGGGCAGGTGGCGACGCCGCGGGCAGGTCGACGCGGCGGGCAGGTGGCGACGCCGCGGGCAGGGCGACGCGGCGGGCAGGTGGCGACGCCGCGGGCAGGTCGACGCGACGAGGGCAGGCGACGACGCCGCGGGCAGGCGACGACGTCGCGGGCAGGCGACGACGCCGCGGGCAGGCGACGACGCCGCGGGCTGGCGACGACGCCGCGGAAAGCGGGCCGCGCGCGGGTGGCTAGCAGGCCGTGCGTGCGCGGTAGGGAGAGGCGCACGAGGGCGCAAGAGCGCACGAGGGCGCGCGGTAGGGAGAGGCGCACGAGGGCGCGAGGGCGCACGAGGGCGCGCGGTAGTAAGAGGCGCACGAGGGCGCGCGGTAGTAAGAGGCGCACGAGGGCGCGAGGGCGCACGAGGGCGCACGGTAGTAAGAGGCGCACGAGGGCGCGAGGGCGCACGAGGGCGCACGGTAGGTAGGTAGGTAGGTAGCGGTGGGCCCTAAAACGGTCCTAGTGAAGGACCTGCTCTGATACCATGTCAGAATGAACGGACAGGAATGATTGAACTAACAGTGAAATCAGTACAAGTACCTAACCCTAGAATTGTGTACCCCCTATAGGCTAACCCACTGTAGCCTAAACAAACACAACATATATAATGTTTGACAGTCTGCAGTGTTGGTCTCGGAGTCCACAAAGTCCAAATGAGCCTGTCCACGCCGCTGATGTGCTTCACTCTACTCTCCAATCAAGGCCCTCGACACAAGAGAATCATTGACTTATTTTCTGTGAACAAGGTGGGTGCAGAGCTTGGTCGCTCACCAAGGTCAGTGAGCAAGAAGGTCAACCAACGCAGCTCCTGTGCAGCCATGGCCAATCTCGGCTTCAGCAGTATAGGTCGAGATAGAGGAGAACGAGTAGATATCCACGGCACAGCTCCAGAGGCTAGACTGAAACAGTACCCCTGCGTGGACTTGTGAGTCTCGACGTTGTCGGCGTAAGAAGAGTCACAGTGGCTAGTGAGCACGTCAGGCTGTCTCCCTCCAAGCACCAGCCCCATGCCTGATGTACTGCGTCACTAGATACTTCGCCACCCTCTTAGCAGCTATCCAGTGAACAGGATGGTGTCTCTCTGGCGCAACAAATCGGGCAAGGATGCTAGGAGGGAGGGCGAGGTCCGGGCGAGTACAAGTCATCAGGTACATGAGGCAGCCTACAAGCTCTGGGTAAGGACCACTAGGCTCAAACGGCTCGACGCTGCTACATGTGTGACTGGGTCAGAGTGATGGTGCGAGCTGCTCTGTCCCTGGTGATCTGCAGACCAAGGTAGTGGCGCAGCTCACCAAGGTCAGTGCACATGTGTCTCCTTTGTAGTTCGGACTTCACGTCCGCCAAAGCAACCGTGTAAGCAGTGGCAGAGTCTAGGTCGTCGACGTAGACCAGTACAAAGAAAGGTATGGAGCCACGGCGAACAAAAAGCGACGGGTAGGGTAGGTCGAAGAGTGTCGTGCCACTTACGAGGTGCCTGACGGAGTCCGTAGATTGGATGTTTGAACCTCCACTCGGTCCCAGAAGGGAAAGTGCCAGTGAAGGTGGAGGACGACGTAGCCAGACCTCCTTGTGTAGGCGACCGTGAAGGAAGGCAGTGTAGAAGTCGAGAGAGTGTAACCCGTAGTCTCACTGTGCTGCCACTTGAAGTAACACACACAGAGTGGTCATCTTTGGAGAAGGCGCGAAGGCTGGAAAGAAGTCAACTCCCTCGTGCTGACTGAAACCTCTAGCCACATAACGCGCCTTGAAGAACGGAGGCGATTCCGGTGGCCGCTTCACATTGAAGATCCACATGCCAACAACTACGTTCGCCCCCGGAGGGGAAACCTTGTTAACGTAGGTGCCTGTGGATCTGTAGGAGGCCATCTTTGCGTCCATGGCAGCTCTCCACTGAGAGGCCCAAGGCCCAAGGCACAGACATGAAGGGGAAGCGGATGCCAGGAACCCTAGCTCAATCTGCCTGTCCTCTAGGGCGTCACAGCCAAGGGCAGACTCACCCCCGAAAGCCAGAGGACGGGTAGGAGGAGCATCCACGACACGAGTGGCGTAGTCAAGGCGGCGAGTAGTGGCGAACTCAGTGACAGTGACAGTAAGGGCGGAGACGGAGGAAAGGGAGGCACGAGGGTCTGTAACAAGAGAGGCGAGAACACGAGAGAGAACAAGACAATACGTGCGGTAGTAGTCAGTGACAAGAGTAGAGAGGGAAGCAGTAAGGGCCGACTAAGAAGGAGAAGGGAGCACAGACGGAGACGGACGAGGGGAGCTAGAACAAAACAGGAGAGTACGACGGTCAGTGACGGGAACAGGGGACGAGGGACGAGCACGAGGAGAGCGAGAAGCCCAAGTGTGAGAAAGAGGAGGGGACAACGGAGGCTGAGAACGAGGGAAAACAGTCGGGGTGGAGTCAAGAGGAGGAAACGTGGGACCGTAGACAGGAGGAGAGGGGGAGGAGGGAGGAAGGGGAGGGGAGACCAAGGGCCCAAAGGCCAGAGACAGGAGGCATAGGCGGCCGCTTTTGCTGCTGCTCCGGCTGCTGCGACCACTGCTGCTACGGCTGCTGCTGCTCCTGCTCCGGTGGCTGCGGCTCCTCCTCCTGCTGCTGCGGCTCTTGCTCCTACTGTGGCTACTGCTGCTCCTGCTGCTCCTGTTGTTCCTGCCATGATGGTTGCTGCTGCTCCTGCTGCTCCTCCAGCTGCTGTAGCTGCTGCTACTCCAACTCGAGGCTCTCTCGCTCCAACTCCAGCTGCTCCTCACGTGCACGGCGAAGGCGGGCATAGTGCTGGGTGGGGTAGGGGTGGGGGGGAGGAGTAGTGTCCGGGTCGGCGGTAGCCCCTTGACCGCTCCCCAAAGCACCAGACGCACCACCCTCAGAGCCAGTACCATCAGCAGCAACGCGGCCAGTCCCAGGATCTCCAGGTCCAGCAGAGGGCGCACCCGCACCTCCAATCGTAGCACCCCCAGAGACAGCTCGACTAACACCAGCTCCCCGAAGAGAGGCTAGAACCTCCTGCACACACGGGCTCAACTTCAACTCCAGCACCCCCAGCACCAGGACCTCGTGCAGGCACACTCTCAGCTCCAACTCCAACACCCCCAGAGGTAGCACCTCCAGGGTCCGCGCTACGGACCCCAGCATCCTCAGGGTCTGCAGCAGCCTGTAGAAGAAGTGTTGACGGCTGCTGCAGTGACTATGAGGACTATTGCGGAGAAGGCGACGGGGTCGGAGGAGCTACCGAGGGGGGGGGTGGGGGGTAGCGTGTGACACACCTGACGGGGCTGGACCAGGGGGGGGAGGCTGTACCGGAGGAGTAGGAAGGGGAGTGGGAGTGAGGAAGAGAGGAGGAGGAAGAACTGGGAGACCTCGACAGGGGTACCGGGCGCTGTAGGGAACTGATTCGTCAAAGCGGACGTCACGGGAGTCAAAGAACCGGTGAAGTGGAGGTGGTAGAAGGTGAAGTCAGAGGAGTCCTTTGGGAAACTAAGGAAGACACAGAGAAGGGCGCAAGGGGGAAGCTTGTCCGTGGAGGTGTCGCGAACAAGCGCCTGTTAGAGACTAAGGACGGAGTCTAGAAGCTTAGGAGCCGAAATAACTCAAAATCGTTGGTCTCAATTTCTGGACAGAAATGTCGACTTCACAAGAAACGCCGTCGACGAAAAATGCACCGTTAGAACTGTCTCAAACTCGAGTATGTGTTAGCCCTAGAGTGTGGCAACAATTGTCAGAATGAACGGACATGAATGATTGAACTAACAGTGAAATCAGTACAAGTACCTAACCCTAGAATTGTGTACCCCCTATAGGCTAACCCACTGTAGCCTAAACAAGCACAACATATATAATGTTTGACACACCCCCATAGGCAAAGTGGGGAGAACAAGGGGTCACAAGACCGGGCAAGGCAAAGCAGGACACAACAAGCTCAGGGTGGATCTCAAGGATTCCACACAAATTCCGAGCACAAGCAAGTGGTCACAAGACCAGTTCACATGTAGGTTTATAATAGAGCAAGAGGTACAATGATCACAACCTAGCAAGAGTAAACATGCAGGTATATATATAGAGATCACAGTACAAACAGAGTCAAGAAGTAAGCAAGTGAGGTCCAGTAGGCACAAGGCCTAGCAGAGTGCAAAAGCGCTGATGGTCACAAGGCTGAAGCGCCTTGGTGAACACATCAGCAAGGTTGGCCTCAGTGGCCACGTAACGCAGACGAAGCTGACCACGCTGCTGCAGCTCTCGAGCAAGGAAGTACCGCAGGGCGATGTGCTTCGTTCTGTGCTCCAGTCTGTGCTCCTCACACAAGGCAATGGCAGCCTGGTTGCGGACGTACAGCACTGGAGGAGAACGAGGCCGCTCTCCCAAGTCGGTCAGCAGGTAGGTCAGCCAGCGTAGCTCCTGGGCAGCCATGGCTGTGGCGTAGATCTCAGCCTCACAACTGGAGCTGAGAACAGAAGAAGAGCGTGTAGAACGCCAAGAAACTGAGCCAGAGCCAAGACTGAAGGTGTAACCCTGAGACGACCGCTGAGTAGCCTGGTCGTCTGCCCAAGAAGCGTCTAAGGTACGAGCGACTTCCATGACCAAGCCAATGCGGCGCTCAGCAACCCCATTCTGCTGTGGAGAGGCCGGAAGCGTGAACGACTGCTCAATGCCGTGCTCCGCACAGTAGGCTACCAAGAGGTCGGAGGAGAACTCACCACCTCTGTCAGAGTGCAAACGCAGGACAGGAAAGTCCGAGCGAAAACGCTCGCTGAGCTGGAGACGAGCTCTGCGGATCCAAGGGATCAAGACAGCAGGGACCTCACCCTTGGTGCGCAAGGGGAAGACCGTGGTGTAGCACGAGAAGTCGTCAACAACAATCAGGAAGTACCTCTCCTGACCTTGACCACGGACGCGGGCTGGGCCCCACACGTCCAGGTGAAGCGTCTGCAAGGGAGCAGTCGTCGGGGGAAAGGAGGAGGAGTGAGGAGCGGCGCGCTGCCGCCCCTCGACACAGGGAAGACAGGGAGGAGCCGGCGAGGGTGGGAGGGGAGGGAGCACCCTGGGAAGACCAGAGACAAGCTGCCGTTTGTGCATGGCACGAAGGCGCTGCACAGACGGGTGGCCAAGTCGGTGGTGCCAGAGGACGGTGTCGTGCGCCAGAGAGCGACACGAGCAGGGGGCCGACAGCTGACCTGACGCAGACGCGGACGCAGCTACCTGAGGGGACTCAGTGGTCAGTGTGTACAGGTCCGACCTCGGCTGCCGAGTGAAGGTAGCCAGGTGACGGCCCGTCCGAGCACACGTGCAGTGTGTCACGCGCTCGTAGGCAGGGGTGAACTGGTGAACACCCGCGTCCTGGAGCGCACAGCCCGCCACCAAGTTCGTAGAGAACGAGGGAAGGTGGAGACCAGACAGTGTGCCAGACGGGACCGCAGGACAGGGAAGAACAGTGGAGGAGGTCGCAATGACCGGACCCCCAGAGGGGTCAGCGAGGGAGACAGCAACTGGCCGAGCGAGTGGCTCAAGGGCAGTGCGGTCACGAAAGAAACAGCGAGAAGCACCTGAGTCCAGGGTGAAGGTGTGCAGTGCCTCAGTCGACTCAGTACCAGGGGAGACAGACTCACTAGCACCTAGAGCGACAGCCTCACCATCACCTGAGGTGGCAGACACGCGAGTACCTGCAGTGGCAGCCTCACTAGCACCTAGAGCGGCAGCCTCACTGGTCAGAATGCCCGGGTCGGGCGGAACACGCAAGTACTGAGCACCCTCTCCACTAGTAAACATCGCATACATGGCAGTGAGAATAGCATCAAAGTCTAGAGCCCAGATATCAACTCCCTTCCTCTCCAAATCAAGCCAGCGGGGCAGCTCACCGCCGTCAGGGAACTGAGCGCGCCAAGCGTCGTCAAGGCGCGAGAAACAGCTGTGAGTGGGGTGCGGCCTCCCATACGTCTGACCAGTGCGGTCACCAGTGCGGATGACGTACGTGCAGCTAAAGCCACGCGCCCCCGGGCGCTGGGAATACCACTCACGGGCCTCCTGGAGCGACGGAGTGTGCTGCTGGCTCAGACCACCGCCAGCTCCTCCACGACCACCACGGGCCGTAAGGGGCGAGCGCGGGGCCGTAAGGGGCGAGCGCGGGGCCGTAAGGGGCGGGCGCGTGGGCCGACGGGGCCTTAAGGGGCGGCGCGCGGGTCGCTAAGGGGCGGGTCGCGGGTCGCGGGGCCTTAGGGGGCCGTGAAAAAAAAAAATAAATAAATAAACGAGGCGCCCTAGGGCGCCGGTAGGCAGGTAGGTAGGTAGGTAGGGTAGGTAGGTAGGTAGGTAGGTAGGTAGCGGTGGGCCCTAAAAAAACGGTCCTAGCGAAGGACCTGCTCTGATACCATGTCAGAATGAACGGACAGGAATGATTGAACTAACAGTGAAATCAGTACAAGTACCTAACCCTAGAATTGTGTACCCCCTATAGGCTAACCCACTGTAGCCTAAACAAACACAACATATATAATGTTTGACAACAATTCCCAATTAGAATCGCATCCGAAGATGGATTATAACTCGAGTTTTGAATTTCGGCGCACTAGGGGGTAAGCTGCCATAGAAACTTAACTCAATCACAATAGTTTCACAAGTTTTACAAGTTGCACACAAGAGTGTTAGAGTAGCACTAAACCAGGTAGGAGGGAAGAGGAGGACGAGAGGGAAGGTCCCAAGAGAGTCCCCAACCAAGGAAACCCCATGCCACACAATTCCCCTCTCCATAGGCAACCCCACTTTCACTTTTGTCACTTTCCCAACCTCCACAATCCACCTCACCCAACTTGGCCACACTTGCCAACCTAGTTTGGCTTCACTCCACCACTTGGCAGCATCTACAGTGATGGGTACGAATTTCCCAACCCCCAAAAGTCTGTACCCCATATTGAGTCACTCCCACATTTTCCGAGTCACCACAACCAAACATGAAAAGCATACGAACTTCAAACGTTCGTAACTTTCTCGTTCGTGCTCCGATTGAAGCGATCCTTGGCTCGTCGGAAAGCACTTGAGCAGAGAAGTCACTTCAGATATCTGCTCAATCCAAAAGGCATTCACAAACACTCAGAAAATCCAAACCGCACAAAACACAAATTCTTGCACACGCTCACACCACGCATGCAACGCACGAACATATGATGGGAGGCAGACAGACGTGAATGCGAATGATAGCATCACACAACAACGCCAAGCAGCCCCAGACACGAAAACGTGATGCAACACCAGGAGACCCGGTCCAACAATGGTCGGTGAAACTCCTGGATGGGAGACACGGGACCAGAGGTTCAGCTGATGTGCAGTGTATCGAACCGCGTAAGGCCACAGAAAATGGGGGGCACGGGCGTGAATCACGGAGGTGCGTGCAATCTCCATGATCAATCCTATGCGGCGCTTAGCATCCCCATTATGCTGTGGGGATTTTGTAAGCGTCCAAGACTGGCGGATGCCCTGCTCGCGACGAAATCCGGCAAGAACGCCGGAGCGAAACTCACCCCCACGGTCGGAGTGAAGACAACTGACACGACAGTGAGGAGTACCAATGTGACTTCTTCGCCAAAGGGAAAGCAGTGGTGTAGCGAGAGTAGTCGTCGATGATCACCAGAAAGAAACTCTCTCTCTAAGGACCAGGGCGAGGGGCGGGGCCCCAGACGTTAAATTGGAGAGTCTCAAAGGGCTCGGTGGCCGGACGAAGGGAGGAGGAGTGAGGGGCGGCATATAGCCGAATTTCGACGCAAGGGCCGCACGGCGGTGCAGGCGAAGGCGGCAGCGATGGCAAGACTGGCGGGAGGCTTAAGTCAAGACGCTGACTAGACATAGTGCGAAGGCAAGGAACGGATGGGTAACCAAGACGGTGGTGCCACAGAACGGTGGGGTGGGCAAGCGACCGACAGGAGCAAGACGCAACAACCGGACCAGACGCTGTAACCTGACCTGACGCAGTTACCTGGTGGGACGCTGGGACCTGACGGGGGGGCAGTTACAGGGGTCGGAGGCAGCTGCCGCCGCCGCTGCTGCTGCTGCTGCTGCCCTCGGGGGCCAGTGTGAAGCGTGTAGAGACAAGAACCCGGCTCCTCGCGAAAGATGGTCAGGGGGGCGTACGTGTCACCGTCCACACAGGT